AAATAGTTAGAAATCTTGCAAACACCAATTCATATTCAGTCAAAATGCGAACTAGAAGAAAGAATGGTACATCAGATGAAGATATTGGTTATGACTCAATTTCTTCAGATAAAAGGTTTCAGAGTTGGGCTCACAAAGGAATAACTGTGCTAGCTCAGTGTGTGACCAGTAATTCTGCTTTAAGGGAATTCTGCTAGAAAAATAGGCTACAGTACATTTCTTTATTACTCCAAAACTGAAAGGGAGAAACAAGCCAATGATCTTGCTGGAGGCAATGTGGACAATATCAGCTGATTTTTATTTATTTTTTTGGTCTTGCCTAGTTTTAAAAGTGTTGTCGAAAGAAATACATACAATTATACAGGAGATTTTAGAGACTGAGATAGAGGATACAGGTTATATTCTATTCCTTGGACATACACTGGATTCAATTAATAACAGTAATAAATATTTACTGAGGATTGTCCTATAGCAGTGGAAAAAAACATCACCTGCCTATGGCTTTAGCCAATTTTCCCCAACGAAAATACAATGGGAACAAATTGTTACAGAAATATACAATAATATGTTAAGTATATGTATGTATGTATATATATATATATATATATATATATATATATATATATATATATATATATATATATATATATATTCTATATAACTGTGCTAGCTCAGTGTGTGACCAGTAATTCTGCTTTAAGGGAATTCTGCTAGAAAAATAGGCTACAGTACATTTCTTTATTACTCCAAAACTGAAAGGGAGAAACAAGCCAATGATCTTGCTGGAGGCAATGTGGACAATATCAGCTGATTTTTATTTATTTTTTTGGTCTTGCCTAGTTTTAAAAGTGTTGTCGAAAGAAATACATACAATTATACAGGAGATTTTAGAGACTGAGATAGAGGATACAGGTTATATTCTATTCCTTGGACATACACTGGATTCAATTAATAACAGTAATAAATATTTACTGAGGATTGTCCTATAGCAGTGGAAAAAAACATCACCTGCCTATGGCTTTAGCCAATTTTCCCCAACGAAAATACAATGGGAACAAATTGTTACAGAAATATACAATAATATGTTAAGTATATGTATGTATGTATATATATATATATATATATATATATATATATATATAGGTATGTACTGTATATATATATATTTGATGATGTGAATATGTATATATGTATCCATATTGCAGCCCATTTGATTTTCTTCTATTGAAATACCTTTTTCCTACCTAAAATCTAGAAAGAATACCAATAACTGCACCCATGAGGCTTTGACTGTTTGTCTGTTAATGTTTGTCAATGTTCTATAACGCTAAATAAAAAGAAAAAAAAATCGTACCAGAGACTGATTTCTTACCTTCAATGATGACGTTAAAGAATCTGGATGTTTTATCTAACAAACAGACATACGATCCCTGATCATCTTTAGTCAGGTCTGACAGAAGTAGAGAGACGTTTCCGGGTGAAGTCTGATTAAACAGTGTAATTCTGCCACTGTACAGCTCAAACACACTGGATATATCAGTGTAAATGCGATCTTTAGAAGCTCTTTTGCTGTTGGATTCCCAGAAGATGCTCTTGGGCTTGTCCTGTGGGTCGGTACAGGAGCAGGGCAGCAGCACAGACCCTCCTGAGAAAGCTGTTATCTGTATCAAATCATTGAATGATGGCGTACAGGCTGAGGGAAACAGACATGATATATACTTACATTATAAGACCTATATATGATTAAGTAAGATTTCTTATGATAACCAAATTTCTAAGGCCTCTAAATGATCAACATGATCAAAACCCCCTTCAGGTTGTGGTAGGCTACACTTCAGTTTGCTGTAAAATATTCAGTGATTTTCATAAAGTAAACGTAAGAATAAGTATTTGTTAGTAATAGTTTAATTTGAACACTGGACTAAGGCAACTTAGGTTTACTTTATTATCCAAAACATTATTATAATTTTTTTTTAAAGAAAACGTGTGTTAAAATGTGAGCATCAAATGTGATAAATCGGAAGAATGTTTTTTCCCTCTGATTGTTATTTCATATGTCATGCTTTACAGGGTTAATTGAACTGTACCAGCATTTGTATTTGTAAATAAATTTAGACTCCAAATTCATGGATAAATGTACAATTAATTAACTGCACCTTAATTAAGGAAAGATACTTACCTTTTGTGAGGTAGTGCAGAGAAGTCAGGATGTTTAAAAAGATCCACATATTTATATATGCCATGTTTATACTTTGGTGTTCGTATATCTTTCAGGCAGTTTTTGCATATCACTGTCACATCCTGTCAGCTCTAGATTTTTATCAGTACAGTTGAAGAACTCTTGCACAATTAATAGTTAGCAAACATAGAGTCAATGAAACATACAGACACAATATAAAATTAATCATTTAAAAGCTATATATTGTAATAATTATAGGCCTACCACCATAAGTGTTTGTCTTGTTGTGAGGCTGTTTTGTACATTGCATTTTTTTCTTAAAATAAAATAAAATGATATACAGGAAAAAAATCATCTTAAAAATGAATGTAAATGATTAAAATACGTTTTACTCAAAATTGTATGCACACATTTCCATTTCTTCGTTTGGTAAGTGTCCTTGTAATGAGCTGGATAATGTACAATCAGCCAGTTATTGTTTGATAAATAGAGAATTAATCAAAAATATCACATGTGTAGCGTATCAGCTCATGGGGAAATATGAATAATTAATCATAACTAGTTATAATTAATTATAAATATTTAGATATAAATAGTAGATATATACTTGACCTCTCAGGGTCAACTGTCTGTCAGTTCTAAGAACGTTAATTTCCTGGTTAAGGGAAATGTTTCACTGTGCACTATGGATTTCCTATGGAAATTGTAGTGAGAGGGGTGACTCTCAACATGCCATTAGGTCGTAAAATGTATCTGGTGTCAGGGTTGCCATGGTAACCAGGGTCCTGGGCCCTGTTCACAGACAACTTGGCACCCAGTATGTTTATTGGGTGAGGGGTCTATGAACGTTTTGTTAATCTAATGAATAACTGATTTGTTAAATCAAATGAAAAATTGTGTGTTTGATTGGTCCAGATGCTACACATTTGATCTGAAATATATTGGGTGAAAAAATAAGGTTATATTATGGTGAAGAGGAATATACTAGAATATAAATGCATTGGAAGTGAAGTGAATACTGACATTACTGGATCAGCATGAGCAGAAAATCAATGTGATAATGGATATTGAATTGTATATGACATATTTAATTGTATACATGCTCATGCTGTGGTTGAAATATACAGTAATTGACTCAATGACTATAATTAAGAGAATATTACAGAATTGAATGATCAATTATGTATAATAATCAAGTTATTTATTATCCAAAAATACCTATATTTTGACCTGTTGTCAGTTGCTAAACAAAATTCTAAGCATAACCAATTTTCAGATTTCATTATGATTTAGTAAAGAACTGTAAGTGAATAAAATAAATAGCTTTCAAAGCATATATTTACACCCCAAATTAAAAATAAAACACATGACCATTTGTTGAGAAACACAACTCTTAGCAGGTTCATTTCATTCAGAAAATCTCAAATTTATTAGAGTGAAACAGACATTATCTTTGAGCACATCCCAGCATTAAGATAACATGTACAATCAAGTCAATGACAACATTTCCATAAACAAGAAAGCCATGGAGGGGACAATAATTTAGTAGCTTAATGTCAAGCTGGGGAAATTTCTCATTCCTCAACATTCCAAAGCTGAGTCGACATTCCAAATTAAATATTGACATTCTCCTATAATCTGAAGGCAGTTTAATAAAGTGAAATTACAATTTACAGACAACTGGTCCTGTAAGAAAAGCACAGCTGTAACCCATTCATATTAACAGCCAGTGTCTTACTGTATATCTGCTCAACTCATTTTATTAAAATACATTTATATAAAAAAGAAAATGCTTTTCTTAAAATAATCATATCACACTGTTATACTCTATATAATAATTCCCTTCAAAATATAAAATCATATTAGTATATATATCTACACAAAGTGCAACTGTAAATAAAGTGTTATTTCACTGAGGTTAAAAACACAACCATATTTTTACCTCTTTCAGTGCAGAAACTACTGTGGGAGTTTTAAAAGTGTGTGGAGGTAGTCTAGAGGAGATGGCTTATTACTGGGACTCGTGACTGGAAAGGGTCTTCAAATGAAAACCTGAACAGTCCAGTTTACCCTCAACCCTTGTGCCTTAAATTTGCATGGTGCATCTAAATGGAGATTGCGACTAGTCTGTTCTTACAAGTAGGGGAGGGGTGACTTTAAAATAGTGGTAAAAACAATCACGACAGAGTTCATACTTATCCATCAGTGTCCCTGGCGACCTAACCATATAGAAGCCTTTTATTGCTCAATATTAACAAGTTTAAATACAACACACGCAATACAAATAGACAAGTCCGTCTACTGGATAAGGACCGATTTGGTTTAGGGCTGTCCAATTTTTTTTTTTCGAATTTCGAATATTCGTCGAATTTAAAATAAAAATCCACATTCGAATGCAAAAAACGTTGCACAAAAGAGCCGCATGTTTAGAAAGCCATGTAAAATTAATGCAAGTTTAACTTTGAAAAAAACATATATCGAGACTTAATGGCGGGTTTTTTCCCCATCCCACTGCATCTCATGTTTTAAAATGAAAAATGTACTCTGTGTGATTGGCTTTCCACCCTTTGTATTAAACTATGCATACATACACGATGCTGTTTTGTTTATAGTTGTTTAATCAACTTAATTATAATTGGTTTATAACAATTATTTTAAACATTATGCAGTTTTTTTTTTCGCAGATAGTCATGTTATCTTATGCGTTGAATGATGCGCCCTCTTGTGGCCTCAGGAGAAGAAGCCAAAATCTTTTCTTTACCCTAACTGAAATTATGCATTTTAAATTCGAATTATATTAGATAATTCGATAATTATTCGAATATAATTCGAATTTTGATCATATTTAAGTACAAAATTCGAATTTAGTTTTTCAGCCATTTTAACAGCCCTAATTTGGTTTATGGTCATGTTGGTCTAATGTAAGCCATGGCTATTTATACTGGCACAAAAATAGATCAAACTGAGGTTATTATTTTGACTGGCCATTTGGCTTAAACACACGTACTTATCATGGATTTTTGATGATGAACAAAACACACATTTACAGTAATATCTACAGCAAGTATATTGTTAAAATGAGAACATTTAAACAACTGTATTATTCTATAAATGAGACAATTACCAAAAAAAATCACGTACACTACAGCACAGCACAGAGACGCCTATGTCTGCTAAAACTCAACTAAACATTAAAAATAACCTGGATTTGTTAGGAGAATATGTTGCACATATTCACACACACACACACACACACTGACACACCAATATATCTCACACAGCTATACAGAAACACGCATGTGTGTGAGAAACAGTGGAAAGGAGTGAACTAATATCGGTGTGTTTTTAGCACATGGCAGCCGGATTTCAAACAAACGACGCTAAGAATGTAATTTCTTCTTTCTGTGGGGTTACTTCACGGAACCTCCTGCGAGGAGAGAAAAACGCACAGATAAAAATAAGATAAAATCAAAACTTTAATTTTGATGAGATAAAATTTAAATCCCAGTTTGTAATCTAATAATTAAAACTTAATGGAATAATTCACCCAAAAATGAAAATTTGATGAAAAATTACTCACCCTCAGGCCATCCAAGATGTAGATGAGTTTGTTTCTTCATCAGAATAGAAATTGAGAAATTTTGCATTGCTTCACTTTCTTACTAAAGGATCCGCAGTGAATGGGCGCCGTCAGAATGAGAGTTCAAACAGCTGATAAAAACATCGCAATAATCTACAAGTAGTCCACACTTCACACAATCCACACAAATAAACTCGTTCTTTACTTAACATCTTGTGAAGCATAAATGGTAAATCTGTGTGTTTGTAATAAACAAATTCATCAAGATGTTTTTAACACAAAACCATTGCTCCAGGTTAAAATATCTTTTATCCATAATATTTCTCTTGTGAAAAAGTCTTATCTGAATCAGGAGAGAAATCTGCTCAGGCAAGCACTACTTACAAGTAAAAAGCAGTCCAAAACAGTTGTAAATAAATATGTCAGTAAATTTTGATATGAGACAATAGGGAATGGCATTTTTATTTACTGGAGGAAGTATTATTATGGATTATGGACTCACACACACTGGAGTTGTTTGGATTACTTGTAGACTATTGTGATGTTTTTATCAGCTGTTTGAACTCTCATTCTGACGGCACCCATTCACTGCAGAGGACCCATTGGTGATGTAATGCTAAATTTCTCCAAATCTGTCCTGATGAAGAAACAAACCCATCTACAATCAAGAAAAGTAGTACACACGTGGGTACGAAAGGAAATTCAGGGAAGTGGAACAATAACCAACAATTAAAGGATGGAAAGGGCGAGAGTCCTTGCCTTTTTATGTGTGTTTGAGCGTTGTGTGTCCTTGTGATTGGAACTGAGGGATTTCCACACTGTAGTTTTAGACATTTCATCAGATATGTTAATATCAGAGGGATCAGTCCTGGACAACCGGTGGACACATTTGAGGAGAGGAGGGGTGAAGGCAGGAGAAGGGGAGAGACGGAAAGGTGAGTGTTAGTAAGTACACACAGTCAGATACACAGTGGACATAGTGGGATCTAAGCTTATTTTGAACACCACTGGACAGGGCTCCAGGGTTTGCATTACATCGTAGAGCTTCTGATGTGGAGGTCTGCGGCAGTGTGATACCTGGGGTCTGGGGTTCGAGGTGAGTGTAGAGGTTTGCTCTCCATTGGGATCTGCACTGTGTCTTTGTCTTGTAATTTCTCAGAGTCATCAACCAGCATCTCCTGTGATTCCTGCTACTCACATAAACACATACACCCTCCATCACTGTGTTTATGTATTACATGTGACAAACTAAATTGCAAAATTATGTTGATGTACTAATTTCAGTTTACATGCAAAACTAGCCTGATTTGTTTGAAAGGTTGGGTTAAGTTTGTTCAGGGTGGAACCTTAAAATTGTACTAGAAATGTTTACTGCTAATTTAAATAATAGTATACTGTATGTATGTGAAAATAAATATTTTAAATAGTAGTGCAATACACTGTTGTCACTTGACTTAATTTTGTTGCATTTTTAGTTGTTGGTTGCCATCCAGTTATTAGAAAGGATATAAATAATAATAAATAAAATACTAAAAAATGAAATAACATCATAAAAATTAAATATATATATATATATAAAAACATGTTTTCATTTGTGATTTTTTTTATTTGTTTATACTTCATTTTTTATGTTGCATTGTTAATCCAAATAAAAATGTAGCTCAAAATGAGTCAAGAGGGGAAACCTGGCTAAAACTACTTTTGGTTCATTTGTTATGCATGAAATGGAATGTTGAGCACATTGCATTGTGGGGTACAATATTGTGTTGTATACAGAATAATTTTGGAAATGTAGCTTTGTAGTTTTCTTCCTATAAAGACCATGTACAAACTATGCACATTACACATATTGCACAGTATAGAAAATAGTGTACTAATAGTGCACTTCTATGTATAATATACTAATATTCGTGTAAGACCTTTTACCTGCATAGATGTAACAGCATTGATTGTTGGGATACCCTTTGCTTTATTAAACTCTGCACATAGATCACAAACCTCCTCTGCCTTTTTGGATTCATCATCCAGCTTCTTCTTCTTATTCTCAGGCATCAGATCATCAAGATAACTAAGCTCTCGTTTGGAAAAACAGAAGTCCAGCAGCTTACGGATGAACACTAATGCCAGCACCTGCAGGAGATAAACACTTTTTCTACTAATATCTTATATGATTCAAGTTGTTCCCTTCAGCAATATGGTTGAGCACAGCACTTGCTACACAAAGGTCATGGGTTTTATTCCCATGGATTGCATGATCTGATAAAATGTAGTGTATACCTTATTTCTAAATCTAAATTATAAATAAATAGTACTGCTACACTTCACAGTGCATGCATTCAAAATATAAGTTAGTGTTTAAAAAAAGTATATGTATCAGTCAGTCAGACTGATATTGTAAAATACTAGCATAGCTACAGTCTAGTATATTAATTGATATTTTAACATCCCTAACATAAAGTATGTTCTTTGTTTTGGGACGTACCATCATAGGGAAGACGATTGCGGCAGGGGAAGTTTTGATGACCCAGAGCAGCACAAGGCAGGTAAGTTGGGTCAGAGTGAACAGGTGAACCTTCCTCAGAGGAACATGACGTAGATAAATAAAGTCTGGTTGGTGCTTCGCTGGCATGCCAAACAACTTCAGACGGTCAAAGAACTGCGAAAGACAGAACAGAGAAAGATGACAAGTGACTGATGTGTCGGTATGCACATGTACAGTATGTTTAGTTCAGACGAATGTCTCTACCTGAATGCCTTTCAGAGATGAGACTCCCATATAAAGAAAAACACCATAGAGAACTGGCATGGGAATGAACTGTGAAACAAAAGGTAGGACATTAAGACATTTTGTTATCTAAAGCAGTAGCTATGTTTCCATCCAAAGATGTTAAATTAAATTATGCGCAAAACTGGAATATTGCATAAACATTTGCGAATAAAGCATCATTTCCATCCATCGTGTCAAAGAGATCAAAATCGACACTTCCTGAGAAACTGGCTCTAAATATCACTAAGAAAGCAGGAGACTCCACTGCATATAATAATTTTCATATACGATAAATTATTTTCACCTCAGAGCAAGCAGAAAAAACACAATAACTGGAGGTAGATGCCTGCTGTTTGGGAACACAGTTGTGTAAGCCAATTATACAGCAATACTTTGATGACAGACTTTGCTCAGGCACTTCAGAATGACCAAAACATTTCAGATGCAATGCTACGAGATCGGTCCGCTGGTTAGTCAAGTTATCCCAACCCATTGTGCAAAGTCACATGGCTTTTTTGATGCACATGGTGGAATTTATTCTGTAAATGTGTTTCCATTGTAGTTTATGCACATTTTTCATATCAGATAAAAAGTTGATCCTACTCAATTGTGCGCATACGTTTTTTATGCACATTTTTAGAATTTATGCGCATCTTGGCATTTCCATCCAGCATTTTTTTTATGCGATATTCCAAAATGTGCATAAAAGTAGGTGGATGGGAACATAGCTAGTGACATTCATATATTTTTAAAGGGATCATCGGATGCAAAATTCACTTTTACATGTTGTTTGAACATAAACGTGTGTTGGCAGTGTTTGTACACATCCACCTTATAATAATAAAAATCCACTCAGCGTTTTTTTTCTTAATCCCTATAAATAATATCCCCTTTCTCAAATCAAGCCATTCTCAGCTTCTTGGCTGTGTGACGTCACACAGACCCAGGCCCCTCCCACGATTGTTGATTGACACTGGTGTTTTACCTTAGACCCGAGTGAGCTGTCAACAGTCCGCCATTGTTTCACCGCCGGAGCAGATGTAGACAAGAATGTCTCTAAGTGATTGAGGTGTTTTGTTGTTGGATGTAATAATGAACATAGCAGTTATCATTTACTCCTGACATCTGAACCGCTGAAGACACAGTGGATTACTTTTGCTTTTGAAGGGAATGTGCCCCCCAATCTACCTAAATGCATTTATGTTCGCACAAATCATTCGTGATCCAGCTTCACCTACAGAAGAAGTGATTATAATATTCTTTTATGAATCTTTGCAAATCGCCTTTCCTAATAACGTGCTAGTTAGCAAGTTCCACGGCTAAATGAATGCGGCTAAAGTAAACAGTCTCATGAGAACGGCTCGTCACCCCACGAAAGAGAGGGGCGGGGTCAGCAGCGATCATTAGCATTTAAAGAAACATGCACTAAAACAGGTTGCTGTGTGCAGAGCTGTTTTTGGCAAGGTAAAATGGGTGTTGTTTTACACTACCATTGAGAAATTTTAACCAAAGTATATTATAGACTTTTCATTAAGACCCTAAAGAATCATATCAACTTGTGGAAAATGGGCATCCGATGACTCCTTTAAGAGTGTTTGATTTAAAGGGATAGTCCACCTCCCAAAAAAACAAAAAAACATTCCAAACATGTATGGATTTATTTCTTTTGTGGAACACAAACTTCGACATTTTGAAGAATTATAGTAACCAAACAGCTTCAGGTCCCATTGACTTCTTTAGTATGGACAAAAAAATTCTATAAAAGTCAATGGGGCCTGAAACCATTTCGTACCAACATTCTTCAAAATATCTTCTTTAGTGTTCCACAGAAAAATTTAGTCATACAGGTTTGTAAGGACATGAGGGGGAGTAAATGATGACACAATTTTCATTTTTGGGTGGACTATCCATTTAAGGAGGCCACACTGTACATATATGACAACCACAGAATTTTTGTAATTACCTGTAATGTTCCAGTCATGAACACAGATAAGCCCATGAGTAGAAAAATGACCAGACCAGTCAGCCTCTGCTCTCGAATACCCAGAAATCGAGGTTGCTCTCCAGGGGCGGAGCTTTCAGACTCTAGCTTCAGGCTGTTGACATGGGTAATTGACAGGACGGTTGCTGCAACAAACCAGGGTAACCCCATTATGGAACATACAGCCAGCATCACTCCAACCATCAGAAGATCCAAATGGTACCCGCAGCCTTTCTGTGTAGAGGAAATAGGGCACACACTTACATATGATCCGCGCACACACACACACACATCCTCTGTAAAGGCTAATTTAAAAAATAAACATACTAGCAGTTTATGTTCCTTGCGGTTAATTATGACAGCGGTGATCTGCTGGTCCATGAAGACGAGGATGGTGCAGAGAAGAGCTGGTATTAAGGCAGCCAGCACAGTCCACCATGGGTTTCGCCCGATAGGGTTAATAAACCAACCACGGTCATCACGCGTGGGCTGTAATACACAACCAGTCAACAACTCAAAAAACCCCCCCTGAAAATAGCATGGTAATCATATCCATAAAATAGTATTACTAATTATTTTTGTGAAAAAATATAATTTATTCCTTTGATGGCAAAGCTGAATTTTTAGCATCATTCCTCCAGTCTTCAGTGTCACGTGATCTTTCAGAAATCATTCTAATATGCTCATTTGGTCCTCAAGAAACATTTCTTCTTATTATTAACATTTCTATAATCTTTGATGATCAGAAAGCATTTTTTGAGCATCAGAAAGCACAAATTCAATGCATCATTGCTCAATAAATGTATTATAAATCTTTTGAACAATAGTGTAGATTTTTTATGTTTAGATTTTTTTTTACAGTGTAGTGAACATTGTGATTTATTATGCTTATGTAAACTGTGAATTTTAATAATTGAGAATGATGCAACGCTCATGACAATTCAGTCTAAATTGAGAAGTACTTGTTAACTATGGATTAAATATTAGTCCAGCTCAATTGTTCATAGATCACTGTCAGCGCACAACGCGTGTATCCAGATTAGCCTGGGGTATAAACTCAATTCCAAGACTCAGCATTGTCTAATCATCTAATCTGTCACTGCAGGCGTGCCACTCGAAATTAATCATTTGAGAAAATGTGCCTAGAAACAAGACACAAAGAAACTGCACAAAAACAGGACTGTTCTGGATTATGAGAGGGCACTAAAAACTTTGAAGACTGAAGCAGTGGATTCATCATTGTAAGGTAAGCTTTGAAAGAACATGATTCACAAGCAGAGCTTTTAGGAAGAATTGGAAAGCTTAAAGCATTTAGGAGAGTGTTTCCTCTTTGACTTACACAGATGTATCTCTTTTCTTTTTTAAGAAATATGAATTGATTGGCTTTTGCATCTATTTTGGTTTATTTGTCTAATTTATATTTTGTCAGGTTAAGCGTTTGCAATAATATAAGAATATTGCATACAAAAAATACAAGTAAATACAAGTAAATATGAGTTCTTACTCTGGATATATACTATCAAAATAATATTTCGTTTTTTTAACTATTTTTATTTAGTTTAACGATTATATCATTTAATGACTTTGGCTTGGAATAACATATCATGAAATGTATTTCAACAATGAATTAAATAAATACAACTCAAATATAAAATGATACATGAAATATTATGCACACATTGCTTAGATCCAGTAAATATGAATTCTGAAATATTAATACCACTACTACTACTATGACTACTACTTCTACTAATAATAATATAAAATTATTATTGCAAATACTTCAACATCAGCACAGAGGCAAAAACACATGTTGATCACAACACAAAGGTCAACATTTTAGAAACTATATTAAAAATCCTTCTACTTCCTGAAGAGAGAGCATGGATAATCTACAAGGGGGAAGAGGAAATGTACTTTACTATATCACTTTTTGGCAAAGTATTGATCACATTAATGATTTAGTGGCCTTAGAACGCAGTTTATCAAATATGCTAAATGCAAATATAGCTAAATACACAAACACAAGTGTGTGTGTGTGTGTGTGTGTGTGTGTGTGTGTGTGTGTGTGTGTGTGTTTGTATGCACGCTCGTTTATGATCCCTACCTTGAAGTTGCTGGGCACTTGTAACTTTTGGGATGGAACTCCAATTAAATAATCAATCAGGACCATGAAAACAATGGTGAGGAACACAGCAAAATCACTGATCATTGACCGTACCTACATAACAGAAACACACAAAAATACACACTTTGTATTTATTGTATAGAAAATGACACTGAGTATGCAAACTTTGTTTGTGAATGAGTATTTTAGGCTCACCCGTGTTGGGAAGTATCTGCTACTCTTGAACTGTTTCAAGAAGGTAGACAAGAAAAAGGTACCAAAAAACAAGATGGCCGACCAGAAGAGCACATCAGGAGTGTAGGGACCATGGTGTCCACACGCCGATCCAATAAACTGCCCCTGGTGATCTAAACACTCCTACTCACAACACGCACACACACAGAGTTTGGCTCATGTTTAACTGCGCTGGCAGCCGAGACGCTGACTCAGCTGTGAAAATAGGATTAGCACTAAATGCGATCTGTGTGAGACTACACTGTGAAATATCACCGCACTGCAGTAATGGGACGAGAATTGAATAACAGGACTTTAACTGTACAGTGTGTGTCTTATGATGTTCTTTTCACTGCTTGACACAAGTTTTTTCACAAACTGGTGTTTATGACAATGTGAAGTGGTTGAGAAGTTAAAACTGAGATCACATTTAGAGGAGTACTTTTGTCCCCTTTTTTCCCATATAGAATTACACAGAAAGAAATTAATTCTATTTTGACACATACAGGGTATATTCAAAATCATCTACACATCTTCACATAAGATTACGATTCCAGTCATATCAGTGGCTGGTGAGCGTGTTCTTATCACACTGACCAGAATACTGAGATCACATGACTCAATTTATCGTGGCTACATCTCCACTTTCAGAATAAATTAATAATAGGTGACAAATTTGCCCATTAACAGGATATTTCTTCAATTGCATCAATGACCAAAAACTTTTGCTTTCACAGGATGATACATCCATGCCAGTAGATGTCAGTATAAAGTTTCGGTATCAGTCAGCTAAACAAAGAATTGCACTTTTATGGTTAGACCATGTAAGGCCCTGTCCCAAATGGCACCCTAAACCCTCACGGCCTTCCTCTGAGTCCACACTTTCGTGACGTAATGCCGCATTGACTGTCAGGTAGAAGTATGCTGCGGAGCTCGGCCCGGTGCGGGCTCAGCAGAAGTGCGGATTGAGGGCGCTTAATGGCCGCAAAGGGGGTGCTCGCGAGCACCCTTTTGAACGTTAAAAAGACGAATGGGATACCCTACGGTCTCGTGGAGTTAACGGACAAGCGACGGCCATTGTAAGTACGCAAGACCGAAAGTGCACATGAAGTGTTCCATTTGGGACAGGGCCTAAGAATGTTTCCGTTTCCAGTGGTTTGCTAAGATTGTGGGAGTATTGTACCGATACAGTGAGGTTGCTCCATGGCACTGCAGAGGCTGTTATGTTCCTTTGATTCCACAGTTCTAGTGTTTTATTACTGGTGTTATCAGGCTCTGCACACCTACAGCTGATGGCACACAATACAATGTGTTAAAATATGTTTTTGAAAAAAGAATTCAGAAAAGTCCTTTGCTTTTAATTTTATCTAATTTACATCTAGCAAAAACAACTGATGAAAGATTATTATTTACTGACTTCCAATTCGATGAGCAGGTGCATAGGCATCTGTGTGTGTATAAGTTTATACTTACTAGGCCAGAGTTAGTTTGTCTAGATCGGCATGTCTGTTGATGGGGTACAGTTCTCCAAGATGAAAAAGTTTCTCTAGTGCTTCGTAAATGAAGATAAGACATATAAGTGCGGCAAACGCTTCCTCTGTGAAACGTGTGATGTAACAGACCAAAGAACTAGCATCCGTTGCAACAAGAATCAGACACAGGAAAGCCGTCCACAGACCGATACAAGTGCGCAGGGACAGGTACGAGAGATCGTAGTCTCTACAGGGACAGAAATGGACAGGAGAGACAGTATAGTGGGTTAAGATCTGATCATATATGTAATATTTTGCAGATTTATTACACAATTTAAGGAATAAGGCTAAATCAGTAAATGAAAACTAAATTGATACAGAAGATATATTCTAAACAGATATTCTACATTCTTGTTTTTTGAAAGAGATTCAGAGAGATTTTTATGTATTTTAATACGTAATAATCATAATACTTCTGTCATGACAACTCTCTGAGAGTTTAGCATGGTAATTTACATGGCAATGTTAATGTGTTTGGTCTTGGTAGAATAGATCTGCTACGCTGCTGCTGCTGTGGCAGAGCAAGTACCGAGATTTGCTACTGCCAATACATCCACAGACATGCTGCTGTGATTATGTAGGAAATACTGCTGCTGCACGTTTAACATTTATAAAATAACCCCAATATATGCCATACATGAAATCACCCCGTAGCAGATCTATACAGGTGGAGCTGGGGAAGGTGGAGGGTTTCTGAAGCGCGCTGCAACTGCTACAGCAAGCACTAGCCAAGTATTTGAATGTTGAGCAGCAAGGTCATTGGCTGCTGATGAGAAAAAAAAACCAATCGGCTGCACCATGTGAATAATGATGTTAATATATCAGATTGAGTTAGAACTTATTGGCCTGCACCATCTAGAGTTTCATGACAGAACTTTGTATTTATTATTCAATTCAAGAATTATTTATCAAATGTTTCATATTCATAACCAATGACATTTTTCTGGGTGAGAAAGTGAATGATTAGTCTGGTCTGTACTGACTTGCAGAACTTGAAGAGAATTTTTTCAAACACAAGAACAGGTCCAGTGCTGCCCAGTATAGTTAGTGGCTGTCCAGCAAACAGAGAGTATGCTACTCCAGTCATAGACGCTCCTAAAAGGGACTCAATCGCACTCTGACACACACACATGCACACATATAAATACACATGACTGCTGTATTTTGCATTACAAACATATTTTTCATGTGACTTTGCCTAACAGACCACATAGAAACAAAATTGTGTGTGTTTGCGTACTTACAATGCGTCCTTCTGTAGCCTCTCCCAGAAGTCCTCCAAAGGTGATAACAGGAGACATACAGGCACAGTACAGAAACAGAAAAGAAGCTACACACTGCAAACTCAGACCGTCTTTATAATCACTCAAATAAAATGGAGCTTTTCTTTTCACATCCAGAAACAGTCCTCCAAACAGCCTACAGAGAGAGTGAAGAGACATAGAGAGAACAACATTTCCATTGATTTCAAATGTTTTCATACTGAGCTAATAACATTTATATCCCCTAAAACCTCTAACCCTCACACAAACCTTTTTTTGTCATATTGAAGACATTATTCAATATGTTTACTAGGCTATTTTCCTCATGGGGACTGTTGCTGGATCCCCGCAATGTAAATGATTTCAGGTTTTAATATTCTAGTGAGGATATTTAGTCTTGCACAGTGTTGTTAAAACCTGAACACACACCTTCCTGTTCTCTGCAGTTCTGGTCCATGGTGTTCTCCATGCTGCTCTTCCTCAAAAGGAACAGCTGTTCCGTTCGGCACTCCTGGCATCTTTCTTTTCTCCTATTCCGTGAGCAGTAGATAAATTACCACATATAATCAATCACTTTAATCACTTAAAGTGTTTGTTTTGCCATACCTGTGATGGGACACTTTTAGGAGGTTCTATGCGTATAGAAGGGTCCCATTCCCCTGGAGGCAAAACTGTCACTTGATCCAGAAACTCATCTATACCAGCCAACAAATCACTTCTGTCCTTGGCCTTATATGCAACATCATGGAAAATCTAAATAATGGAAGAATAAAATTATATTAAATAAAATAAAAAATGAAATTTGCATTTAAAAATATTTTTTATTTCATTTATTCTACAAATTGTATTTCTGAAAATGTAAAGAGTTTAAAATGTAAGTGTCATAGTTAATGCATTAATATCTAATGAGATAATATGTATTGACCTCATCGGTCATGATGGTGGCCATGGAGCGACCGATCTCATGGTACTGTTGGGCTTTTCCATCGGGACCAAGCAAAATGAACACAAATCTACAGAGTAAAAATATTTTGATCATTCTGTTACAGTGTTATCAGCTCCATTTATGCATTTGCAAGCAAACACTTTGTACCTAGTGGGAATGGGAACTTCAGTGAGTCCTGTAAGCAGTACAGCAGGAGACAGGCGAACGAATGCAACAATGGATCTCTCTAAAAAGTCCAGCTCCCCAACTAGCACATTGGAAGCTTCTGCTCCAGTGGGGATCTTCTTCATGAAATGTGTGTCCACCTAGAGAGCGAAGGTCATAGCAGTGTTATTTTTGTATTATTTGTATTTATTAGTATTTTGAGCCTTTTTCAGTTTTTATATAAATGTTTAAGTTTCAGTAATTTTATTATGTGTCTTAGTCATTTTATTTATATTAGTTTTTTATTTATCTTTAGTTTATTATTATTTCAGTTTTGGGTTTATTCATTTAATACTTAAACATTTTTCAGTTAGTTGCCATGGCAATATTTCTCATTTTCATTTACATTTTTCAAGTTCAAGTTTTTCATCTAATATTTATATTTTATTTCAGCTTTATTTTAATTGTATTATTTATATAAATAAATCATGTAGAAATCCACTGGTGGTTATTCCAGTCACTAACTCCAGCTGTTCATTTCGGTCAGGGTGACAGTTATAGATACAGTATAGATAAGAGGAACAGCAGGTATGTAATTTGATTGGGGCCGCCTCTCTGCCATCCTTACTGTCACTCTAAATGGCTGACATCTGGCTCATTAAAATTAATTTCCTGTTTCCTGATCATTAGCATAACATTACACAAACAAGCTGCAGTACCTCTAAAGATCACCAGATGGCAGTGTTTGTGTGTTTGTGTGAGTGCATTTGTCCCAGATGTTCTTGGTAATCGATTCATTGCCTGCTTCCAGTGAGCACTCCGGACATTAACAGAAATAAACTGATTGAACCTGTTTGGTTTAAAGGGTTATCTTGCTCAATGCTCAGTACCATATTTCCTCTATTTTATTACATCCATCTGTTTTCTCTGAAAACTGGATGTAGGAGAGATTTTTGCATATTATTTTTTTTGATTGTGTCTAGCAACTTTGCCTACATTTATTATTTTTTATTTTTTGCTGTAATTTATTTTGAAGCCAAATAATGATCTATGAGGATATGCTACAGTATACATCACAAACATGAGTGATATTGTGTCAGTTTTAGAGTAAAATAAATGTTTGTTTAATTTCAACAAACGTGTGCTGTTCTTCTTGATGTTGTGGTTCTAGTACCTTGCTGAGATCCATCTGGCCATTATCCGCTGCTCCGATCTTTACATCTAGATTTGTAGGTGGAGGCTGGGGAGAAGTGGCAAGACCTGAGAGATACAATTAAATATGCTAAATATCTACAGCATCCTACAATATCCACCTCACGTGTAGTACCAAAATAAAGTTGTATGTATATTTATATTACTAATATACTAATATATTTTATTAGAATGAAATAATTTATTTGTAAGTTTAACCATAAAACTTAAATATTAGGTGTTAGTATGAGACTAATATAGTAGAATCACTTATCAGCCAAGTTATAGCCACTTTTTCATTTGCAACCATGAGCATGCAAAACCAGTAAACCAGTTAATTTTCATATTATACCCACAAGGATACCACTCAGGATCTGATGTAATCTGTAAAACCCTTTATGGAGCATAACACTCCACCCAAAGAAATGATGTCAATAATGCATGACCAGAAGTAGTCCAACTCCAAAAGAATGATTTGGATAACTTTACTGATTGAATTTGGAAATTCTGTTTATAAAATAATTCATAAAAGAAAAAAGAGCTTTGCATTTCTCCTTTGATATCGGAACAGTCGCCCCATAGATTTACATTGTTAGTGTATTACTGTAAGCACACCTTTGACAAATCAAAATCAACACTATTTAATTATATCCACAGGGCTTAAGTTGTATTTAACCAATAATATTTCTTCATGATGCACATGTAAAATGTGCAGTTTAGCTCACCCGCCTTGTCCATATGATGAGGTTCACTCTGTCTCCTGCTTGCGTCAGTAAGGGACTTGACCATGGGCAGCAGGTTGTTCCTCTTCTTGTCACTCTGGTGGTGATGCCTCTTCAGAAGTGCCTCTCGAACCTTCATTCTCACACTGTCATCCAGTTCATGAGCTGCCTCCTGATGGTCAAGCACCAAATCTACACACAACAAATTATAAATATACAAACCAAATACAATCAACTTTTGAAGGAGAATCATGTCCTTTTTGTTGTTTTTATTGTTTGCATGATTAAACTGTATGATGATGGTGATGATCAATATGTTCCATTCCAGCAGTAATTTCTCAGTCTCTCACTTTCTCTTTTTCTTTAAAACCTCACACGGTTCCAGTCGGAGCTGACGCAGCACTGTTAATCTGCATCACTCACTCTTACCCTCTCTTCCAACCTTTACAGTATAATTAATCTCCCTTGGTCTCCCTGTCCTTCTATTTCTCCGGCATTAATCTTGTTCTTACCATTGCTGCAACATTGATCATAACAGTTATTCCTCAACATGACAGGTTCTATTGTGAGTCTATTAGACATCAATGGCTGATAGTCATTGATCAGTACATTTAAAATTATACAATGTATTCTTGTTCTTAAGCACAAATGGCATAAATTATGAATTAAAAACTTATGCAGGGTTGTAACCAGCATAGATGTATTGATGTGCTCTCTACAGTCCTCATTCGTTATATATGTGTATTTGCATTATATACTGTATGTGTAATTGTGCCACTAGTGGCAACCAAACAGAATTGCCATAATTACTATTGTTTCCAAACATGTAGTCCTGGTCCAAGCACATGCTACTGAACATACACAATTTTGAAAGAACAGTCACAATTTTTAAACTCTTTGAAAACTCAACCTACAAATGGTGTTCTTATTATATTTGTCTCTTCACATTAAAGGAGATTTTAACACTGAAAAAATAACGCACTTCACCGTTAAGTGTACTTTTAATCTAAATGCTTCCTTCCAACTCTTTAAGGTGACACATGCTGCTGACAGCTGTGCCACTTCTTTTTTCAAACTAAGAACCAGTGGGTGTTTGGTTTGAGTGTTTGTGTGTGTCTATCACCAACATGAGTGGGAGTGTGAGGTTACAGGTGGGCCTAATAAACTGCAGGATCCCAACACACACTTGCCACATTGCTGTACTATTCCACATTAAAGACATGCACTGAATGAATAAATATAAACTTGAGGTCAGGCTCAGACGGATTGTGATCAGGTTCAGCAAGCACTTTATACACTGACATTTTCAGAATCTGATAGAGTAAGGTGTAGTCATTTTTTTGTGTTAAAATTTGTCCTTTCACAGATAAATATGTAGAGTGCCGTACACATTGATTTCTGACTGACCTGCAATTTCCTCAATGCAGCTGGCCTTTATGTCCAACAGGACAGTTCCATTAATGATACAGCTCCGTAGCTCAAACAGACTATGGAGAGAGAGTGTAGCTACATATGGCTTACTCCACCTTTCCCCTCCATCTTCCACATCCTCCTCAAACTTTAACCACCTGAGAAGTATTAAAGAACAAAGAGATTCACATAGATAGTCTCTTGCTTCAACTCTCAGAAGGCAACAGAGGGTTGTTTGATAACCAAGTTTTTAAACGGGTCTGGGAACCTTCAGGGGGCTGCAAGAACTAGGGGGTCGGTGGAAAAGTTTAGGGGAAAAACAGTGTAATAAATTTAAATATAAATCATAAAATAGAAATATATAATAACAAATACAATTAATTAAATAAATACAAATAGATAAATGTTTTAATATATAACTAAATGGTAATACATATAACAGTACAATACTATACTACTGCAAAACTAAATATTTTCCAAATAATACTTTACACATTTTAGAATTTCTTTATAGAATAAATGGGGTCTTTGCATGAAAATACAGCTGCCATGGCATCTAAAAGATTCAAAACCCCAGAGTTACATTTTTGGCACTGAATATCATGTTGTAGGACATGTGCATACCTCGCAGTTTCCTTCCACTCTGCATCTTTGCCATCTTTAACACAGATTTCGTCAAGTTCTGTGAAGAGGTCATGTGCTGCATGCTCCTCATCCTCTTCAGTGCCCAGAATAAACTGAACCCTCTGGGATGGAGTATCTGAGAAAAAGAGATAGGATGAATGAGAGACAGAGACACAGAGAAGAGAATATTTGTAAAATTAATTTTCACTGTGAGAGAGGAAGTAGAGGAAGGAAACACAGTAAACAAAAGTCTCATCCAGCCAATTTTCAGTGATTATTATCATAAATCTGAGTTTATGTTTTTAGGTTGAGAAAAAGAAATAAGGGTCCAAAGTGTGCTTTTTTCCATCAAATTGCAGGATTTTATCACCGATAAATAACATTCAGGCCCAAACCACATACGAAATAGGCCTATTTTATATTTATTGATTTATTAATTCCCTTTGAGAGATTGTTTTGAAGGAAAAAATATGCAACCGATATATATTTATATGCAAGAGTATTTTCCAATAATATTGTAGTAATTTTTACTATTTGTATCACTCTGCTTATTTGTGTTTGTACATTTCAGATAGTCTTTAAGTAATGTTAGTAAAGTAGTAATTTAGTAATGTGTTAAAAAAACAGACACATTTCACAGTAAAGCACTGCAAGGAAGCTTGATTTGTTTTTGCCAAAATCACATGATCTATGATGTCCAAATCTTTGTTCGCCTGAGAATCACATGACTGCTTCAGTTGGATCACAAGGAGTGAAACTTAGTGCAGTTTTCCTTACTCTAATACGTTTTTAACAATAAATACCTGAATTTATATATGAATTCCAATTTTCATTTGACTATGAGAAGCCACAACTGGGGCATGGTTAAAATAGACTGCAGATTTTATTTATTTATTTTTTTCATTTATTTGAATTATTTTACTTTCAGCACACAGAAAAAAAGATCACTTTGACCACTTTTATTTCTTTTTTAAAAAATTAGATGTTCATTATTTTGACCACCTGATGGCCGCAACATACACCGTGTTTAAAAGCTTTGAGTAATGATCCTTTTTACAAAACAGCTGAAAGGACTTTGTGCTTTGTAAAGTTTAACCTTCACTATTTGTCTATCAGTCTTTTTATTAGCATTGGGGATTTTCATTTTGTGTGAGTGAAGGAAATCCGCTTGGGAGTGGAGAGATTGGTCCTCACGCACGTGGATTGCGTAACATTATGCTCTCTCGACATTGTCATTAAGATCACACTATAGAAACCGCCTAAAATTAGAAATGTACTAAAAACAAGCCTATGGCAAGACATTTGGGGGGGGGGGGGGGCACCTGGGGTGGCCAGCCAAATTTCAGGGGGGGCGTGCCACCCCTGGCCACCACGTAGACATGCCCTTAAGTAGATAATTGGGAATGTTGTGTCTAAAATGATACTCATTTTTAATAACCTTATTTCTGACTTATTTGTTTTATAAAAGCAATATGACATGGTCACATTTGTGGCGCTATACGCATTTGAACGTGGCGCTTTCGCGAGCGTTCATTTGGAATCCTAGATGCACAGTAATTCTCCAGATTCACCTTCCTGTGAATGAAGCTACAAGCATTTGCTCGACTTGTTACTGCTGTTTACCGTGCGATGTTGCGGTACTTTCTGTGTTCATGTCTTCTTGAGCCACACTTCCAGCCCGCATCCTCTCAGCTCTTCTGCGGTGTTTGGAGCTGTGCGGCCGGTGATGACGATGAGACTGTCTGCCCATGGGCATCCGCACACCCACAAACAGAGTCCTGTGACCTGAGAGAAAAAAGATAGCTGGTGAGATTCAATGTGATTTTTCCAGTTAATATGACTGTATTGAACTGTTGGCTGCATCACATGAATGACTGAGAAAGTGTTGTGGTTGCATACTAACCCTCTAGCTCTTCTTTCTCATAATGGATATTCAGAACTGAGCTGGTGCCACCATGGTCCACCACAGCTTCCTCATCAGGCCTCTGTAATACACATTTACTTGTTTTTAATGAGAGTGTAAATAAGTACACAGTACCATAGTCTTACTAACCCTAATCTTTTAACAGCATTGTTTCTTTTGTGTTGATTTTTTTTCTATTTGAGGATGGCACACAAAAGTTAGTTTTCTATCACTGAGGGGAATTTCCATTGACTGCTTTTATAATGAGCTAATGACATCTTTTTTTATCCCCTCAACCTGATACTTGCAGAAACCTTTCATTTCTACATATTATTTCAGATATTATTTACTATGTATTCACCTGTTTCATGGTAATTTTACTTTAAGTTTCACTGTATTTGTGGGGACACTTGGTCCCCACAAAGTAAACGCACCTCAACTTACACACAATGAATTCAGACTTGAATTCGACTGCATTTCAAATAAGGGACCTGTCTCCGATGATGAATGTGTGTTAGGGAAAGACAGACTTATGAGTTATTATAGGGACTGGGCTTGCATAAACTGACATTTACTGTGTTATTCTAAACAGTGGATGCTTTCTCATCAAGCTTTAAGGGGTAAAATCATAATTTTTGTAGACTTTATTTCCATAAGGAAATAAATACATAAATATTTGTCATGTTATTATTATTATTATTATTATTATTATTATTTTGCATAGTCATCATTTGTTTAAATGGCCATTTTCCACCCTCTCTCTGACCCTATTAATTAAAGTGCTGTTTTTAGGAGTAGGTTTTTGCTGCTTAGTTTAATTTCTGAAAGTTATTAGGTTTTCACAGTACGTCATAGGACTCATAATAAAAAGATCTTAATCAAAAGATTAAAATTAAAAATCAGATTTTCCCCATCATTTGACCCGTCTACTTAATCTCTAATGACGAGTCAAAAAAGGTATCTTAAAATATTACCAAATTAAAACAATTCACTTTGCATACCTTTCATCAAATAAAAAAGTACACTAAGTATCAACATTTTTTCTTTAGACATACATATTTTATTTAGCACATGAACTGCTTGACCCTTAGACACAATATAGTACATGTAGATGAATATCGCATAATCCTGTGACATTTTAGATATAACTGTATGCAAAATAGATGCACAGTGGCAAAAATTAATACATTAAATCAAAGTTGCATATAAGATCTTACCTGACTTTGTGGTTGTCTGTTAATAAAGGTACTGTAACCCACTACCTTCAAACAGTCAAAGACCACTGATATTTATTAGGCTTCCTATTATTCACTTCCTTCTTTACATTTGTGTGTGTGTGTGTGTGTGTGTGATATCCCACTGGGATGCTGCTATCTTTCCATGACAAAGATGATTCATCAATGTGTTTTCACAGCTTTCTTATGCAGGAACACAAGCCTATAATTCATATAAACCCTGTTGAACATTTCCTGCATCAAAAATACAGCCAAACAGAGCAAAATATTCTCACAGGCTTTGTAATGCATGTACAATAATAATATATCCAAGAAAAGCTTTGTCAAATGAACCCATTGGCTTTGATGCTCTTTGATGCAAATGATGCTCTGTTGTTTATTTTGCTTGCTCTATGATTGGCAGTCATAGTGTAGATCAGCATTGAGGTCATTGTGTGTTACAACAAAAGCACCAGTAGCTTTCCACTATAATAGCATCCGCCTTGTTTCCAACATCCCACTAACATATAATTATGGTACAGGCATCTTATCAAGGTCCACCAGAACTACAATTATTATAGGCTTAAGAACAATTGCTTAAGTTTCTTAGCTTCTCTAATCGTAAGACCACCGGCTGTGATTTTATTGTGATTTATTTGGCTTGCATTTCCAGGTAATATATGTTACACTTATGTTACCTCACTTCTGAATGATTACTGTTCTGTTTTGAGGTTTTCAATTAAATGGATCCATTTCATACAGTCATGCCCTCTGCTTTCCCTTTGAAGAATGAGTGCATGTGTGAATACAAGAAAAATAGTATTTTGCAAAGGGGGACCAATTAGTTAAAGAGCCCTTAAGTACTGTTACATTTAATAAGGATATTTGTTCCCAGACATATTCCACTGCATGATATGGTAGGACTTGCTAGAATACAGACGTCATTGTATAGATTGGTGGTCATGGTGTGATTTTCAGAATCGACCAGTCAGTGGGCTGGTTGAACATTTAGTCCACCTTAAGGAAACCTGTATATTTACCTGACCTCAATAAGGGTTTTTAAGGGTTGGACTATTTTAAACTGTACAAACTGTTTTTAAAAAAAGTTAAGTTTTTGGTAGGACACTCAAAAAACAGTATGATACATGATGCAACTGCTGGAGACATTTGTCTGAAAGGGGATTATTAAAAAAAAAAAAAGTAGAAATATATTTGAAGTTGACTAGATAAACTATCAACCTCACTAATCAAATTGTTTGGTTTTGAACAATTACTTAGTAATTACTTGCTTCATTCTGTAGTGTGACAGTCTTAAACACAAGACAACTAGGGGTGCTCCGATCAGGATTTTTGAGGCAGATCGCCGATCACAGAAAGAAGTATCTGCCGATACCGATCACCGATACCGATCTTTTTAAAGTCTTCTTTTTATCATTTATAACTATTTATAGTGATGCTCCAATCAGGATTTTTAGACATTTATTCAGGGCCTGAATTTCATTTTTGAAAATGGGGGGAATTCCCCTCTTAGGTGACTCTTGTGAGAGAGGAAGCAGCACGGACTGTGCTTTCACACAGGAGTCCGCTACTGATCTGTGGCTGTTTACGACAAACACAACATTTATCCATTATTTTGATTTCAAATCCAAGCATTGTCACTGAAAATGCTTTTTCAGCATTGCAATTTTTTTTACACAGTACAATAATACAATCTTTCACAGACATGTTTAAACACAATAAATATAAGCAACACATTATTCAATGCTTTTTACTTTTGCATTTACTTCTAGATTTATATATTAAGTTGTTCAAGCAAGTGGCAAAGCATTGAAACTACTTTTCTTCCGTTATCACAAACTTACCATTGACAGAAATAGTCAGCTCTACTGCCTTTCCTTTTGCATTGAATTCTTTATTACAAGCAATCCTGCGGTTCATAAAGAACTTTAAAGAACTTAATGTGAACCTGGCATTATGTGTGTGTGCTGCGAGTCTCCAGGAGAGTGTACGAGCGCTGAATGGTTAAACACTGGCAAGAATTAAAAAGTAATTTTATAAACTTTAGTGACGATGTGAAACTGCCTCGATTGTGCAAGTGACAATTCCTGTGTCAACTGTGCAGCGTGTAGCTCGCTTATGGACAGATGCGATGTGGTGATTTGAAGACATTTGCGTATTTTTAGAGAGACAGAGAGAGCGCGCGCGGTGATTCACTCACGCTGTTTGTGAAATTACGTCTCACACAAGGTTTTCAAATTACTTTATAAGTTATTTAATGAAGAAATATGAAGGTGAGTACCTCACCTTCAGCATTATAATGATTTCACCCGCGCCAGACAGAGACTGAGACAGTACCACTGCATGTCGTGCCAAACATCTCACGGCAGACGCATCATCAGCTTGAGATCGTTTTTTTGAGATTGGCCTTTTTAGAGACCGCCGATCAATCATCCCAAAGCGATTATCGGCCGATAGTGATTGGTAGCCGATCAATCGGAGCACCCCTAAAGACAACCATACAATTTATCACTCAGACTGCCTTGTCGTCCCAGTCATGGATCATTTGAGTAGTTATTGTCATTAAAACACATACCCAGGGGGAAGGAGCAAATAGAGATAGAGCTAATCATGTGAACAAGTTAATGAATTTTTCATCATCTGCTTTATGCTACTGTTTTCCTACTCCTTTTCTCTCAATCTCTCCTTGTCCTTCTCCCTTTATTTGTCTGACATGAGCACATACCCTAATTAAAATAATAACAAAACACTTGAGCTGATTATACTGCTCCTGTGTCACCTAGCTACTCCTTTGTGTGTACAGTATCTGTGTGTCACTCACAAAGGGAGATTTTCCACTTACAAAAAATGGCTTCTTCTTACCTCTCCTTATTACCAGGCAACAATTTTGCAGTCCCTGATCAAAGACGCATACAAATAAAACAAGTCTATATTGTATGGAAACCTTAACAGCAATTTTATTTTTCTTAATTTTTACTTTCTATCTTGCAGTCGTGATCTATGAAATCACAGTTGCGATCACAAATGCTACCAAAAGTTTAGAGTCAATATAATGTTTTTATAATATATATTGAAGAAATGAGAAGAAATTAATTATTTTATTCAGCAAGGAAGCACATTGACCAAAATGACAGTAAAGACATCTATAAATATAATATCTTTATTTCTTACAATGAGACTGCATAGCCTACTTTATTTTTTATTTTTTATTTCTTACTTTATCTCACAATTACCAATGTTTCAATTTTGGGGGATAAGTAATAATTTAGAAGGTTTAGATGGAGGTCACTGTGTCAGTTTGGCTGCCAGTACATGAATATTGCCCTTTTGCCTTCAAAGGTCACATGGGCCATTTTCTTGCCCTTCCTCCTCTTTCCTTTCTGTTCTGTAGCACAATGCTTTGACAGTTATGTTAGTAATCTTGACACAGACTACTACCACTGCCACTTCCAGATGCTCCCGTCTGCCTGAACAGATACAGTGACACATGCACACACACACACACACACACACACACACACACACACACACGGACAAACCATAACATCATTTCAACTCTGAAGTGAATGCTTTTATGTTGTCTTTCATAGAGTCGTGAAGTGTATGTTATTGATTACTGTTTATATAATTTAGAAGGTTTAGATGGAGGTCACTGTGTCAGTTTGGCTGCCAGTACATGAATATTGCCCTTTTGCCTTCAAAGGTCACATGGGCCATTTTCTTGCCCTTCCTCCTCTTTCCTTTCTGTTCTGTAGCACAATGCTTTGACAGTTATGTTAGTAATCTTGACACAGACTACTACCACTGCCACTTCCAGATGCTCCCGTCTGCCTGAACAGATACAGTGACACATGCACACACACACACACACACACACACACACACACACACACGGACAAACCATAACATCATTTCAACTCTGAAGTGAATGCTTTTATGTTGTCTTTCATAGAGTCGTGAAGTGTATGTTATTGATTACTGTTTATTTTTCAATAAACCACTTAAAGCATAATTTTGGGAGAGATGGTCAACCCACTGCAGTATTCAGACTTGGAATAAAGAATTGGTTAGAGAGAGTTGAAGTACAACCTGTTACTCTTTGCAGAATGACTCATTCACTATTCATTGCCACCTCTCTTTCTTTCACAATGGCATCATAGCCTTCATGTCATGCGTATTTAAAATAAAAAATAAGGTTCTGTTTGCATGTTACCTTAAGTGCATTTGTATTAACGTTGTGTGTGACAAGTTTTTGTGTTTTACAAAGACATTTTTGGTTCCCTGTTCTTGTAATGTATGCTTGTGTGTGTAAACAAATACCATGGTATTAACATGTTTTTTGGCATAATACCAAGGTAATAATATATTTTAGTATATTTTGGTATTCTTTAAAGTTTGAAAAAAGCCCATTGGAGATTAAAGTGTCTGATACCATCACTGTATCATAAAGCTTCAACAATATGTTTTTGTAATGGTGTCTTCTGAATTTTTTAGGCACATTAAATTTGTATTAATCAGTCTCGGAAATATTTCTATTATACTGCTGGAAGTTTGAGACTAACAATTTATAGTCTATGCATAACAACCATATTAAAGATGCTATTATTCTTATTATTATGCTATTATATACATTATAATATATTCTATATACTGCAATTACATTACGGAAGGTGAAACTATTATTATGCATTCATGTTATAAATTATATTAACCCTGCACAAAGACTGCCTTTTATTAGCTAACTATCTGGAATGGATGTGGGCAGAGTACATTTTGTAACTATTCATGCTCTCTGAAACCTGTTTCAAAATGACAGTCAGAAATAAGTGACCAAATGAGAAAAAGAGAGATGTTGAATGGCATAAAAAGAGCACAGCATCAGACAAATAGTGGTAACAAATTGAAATTAAAGCTGCAAGCAGTGATGAAAGGGCCCTTGCACCCGGGCTCACCGCCACCCGGTGGCTTTAGGAAAACAGCTAAGGGTGGGCAATATGCATTTAAAGTGATAAATATAGGAGGAATATGTCAGTCATTTATATGTGCCAAACTTCCTACTGCCAGCTGGTGGCGCTATGACTGTAACTGAATGCTGGCATGTAGATGTCTTCAGACCAGGACTTTTATCAAATCTGTGAAATTTGGTGCAGATTGAACATGGCATGTGTTACGGGGCTGACAAGACGTGAGACATGCGGATCCATCTGCAAGGCTTTATTGTGGAGAAGACAGAGACGTGGTCATGAAGCAGGCAGGGAGCAAAGGTAAAGGCATTTATAATGTTACAAAAAGTTATTATTTCAAATAAATGCTGTTCTTTTCACATTTCTATTCATCTAAGAATCCTGAAAAACAATAACATTCTGATAATATTTCACAATATTATGGTTTTACTGTATTTTTGATCAAATAAATGTAGCCTTGGTGAGTATAAGATGTTTTTCAAAGACATAAAAAACCCTTAAATATTTGAACAGTAGTGTATATCAGTGAGATACTCTCATAGGCACAGTGATGTTTATACTGAAATATTGATATTAATAACCTACACCTAAAAAAAAAACCTGTTGACATTATTAGACTGAAATTAAAACATGATTTGGACTATGAATTGTTTCAGATAATGAGGACCAATTTAAAATGTTGTTTTACAGTATACTCTGGCTCACACAACTATTGCCAAATCCTACACTCACAAGATAAACCCTGTTATTTATTTTGTAAAGCATTTCTGTATGTCACAGTGCAACCCTTGGAAGGAAGAGCTCGTTGTAATTATGTAAATCTGCGTATGATAAATGGGGACAGACTGAAGACAGCTAAGACTCTAGTGGACAAGGCAATAAAGGTTAGGCTTCTAAAACCCTAATGAATCATAGCAGAAGATGTGCATGGATGAACTCCGAATTATCTTTAATTTTATAATAATAATAATGATGACATTAAGATCTCAATGAACATGCACTGTCAATTTTGTTGATTCTGATATAGGAGAAGAAAGTGTTCTCGGTGCTGGGTCCCTATCCTGTAATCCGTGCAGGCCTGCGTGCAAGAGGATGGGTGGAGCGGCGACTACCACGGCCCTCTGTCCCCCAGCCCCGTCGACGTGATCTTGAAACAGAAGTCACAGATGAGGGTGACAGCAGTGATGATGATGGTGAGAGTCTCTGACAGAACTAAGATGAGACCCTATGCATCACTCTGCGTAGACACATGATAAGGCAGGTCGGTTTCTGTGTGTGTGTGTGCGTGGGTTTACTTACTAGCTATACACAGGGGACAAAATTGTACCCAGAAGTTAGTTACGGACACAATGTTCTGTTGGGGATGTTTTAAATGTAAACATAATTTAAAAAGACAAGAAAATAGCTATAGCTATATTCAAATTTGTCTAGCACCCTTTTGTCAATCAGCATGATCCCTGTTAGTAATTATAATTAAATTAATTTAAACAACAGAAGGTTTTCCACAATTAATTTTTTTTAACAAGTTATTACTTTTATTTAGCAAGGACACATTAAATTGATCAAAAGGGACAGTAAAGACATTTATAATGTAATATTTCAAAAAATGTGTTCATTTGAACTTTCCATTCATGAAAGAAATGTGAAAAAATCAAGGGTTTCACAAGAATTGATAATAATAATAAGAAATGTTTCTCGAGCATGAAATCAGCATAGTAGAATGATTTCTGAAGGAGAGTGAGATGGGTGTGCGATATGACGATTTTTGGGACGATTAAAATGTCTCCACGATCTGCTTTTGAAAAAATATTGTAGTATCGTGCTACTTTAAATATTGTAGTATCGTGCTATTTTGAAGAATGTGGGTAACCAAACATGATAGTGGGGAAAAAATAAATAAAATACTATGGAAGTAACTGGGGACCAGCAACTGTCAACAGAAGAAAGAAACTAATTCGGGTTTTTTAAAGAAACTTCAGAGTGAGTAAATGATGACAGGATTGTCATTTTTTTGGTCAGCTATCCCTAATGGTAATAAAACAAAAACACAAAGAGAAAAATCACTCACTGCTCTTGACTGAAGAACTTTAATACAGTTGCTTTAATAAGAATCAATGTATAATTTATGTATATAGTGTATTTAAGTGTTTTATTTTTATATTTGTTAATTCAATTTCTTGAATGCTACTGCTAAATACACCTACTGTACCTGAAAACTGTTTGTTTTATTTGTATATTATGTGTATTTGTAACGTGTATCTTTTGTTCTTATTTTTTAATAACAAAGATAAAATAATGACAAAGATTTTTATCTTTGCCCACTTTGGCCTAAATGTCTGCCATTCTTTTTTATTTTATATTTTCTTACCTTGTAAGTCTTTCTTTTTAAATTAGGGAAATTAGTTTGGCTGTAATGCTCAGACAACTTGCAAAATAGTAAAACCAACATGACAAAGAATCGTGATAAAATCATGAATCGTGATATTTCTGAAAAAAAAAAATATTGTGATATGATATTTTTGCCGTATCACCCACCCCTACGTGAGAGTAGTAGTAATGGCTGCTGAAAATTAAGCTTTACCATCACAGGAATAAATTACATTTAAAAAAATATTTAAACAGTTAATTTAAATTATAATAATATGGAGCAACCTGTGTAACTGTTTAGTTAATGACCCACTGTAATCTAAAGCTTGATATGATAGTAGTTTGAGTAGCTAACCTGACACCACTCATTCCAGCAAACAGATGTCAGTGACATAGAGCATGCTTTCTGTCCCTTGACTACTGTCACACCACCTTCTCTCTTTCTTTATGCAGACTTAGGTGAGGAGGGAGAGAGGGACGATGAGGCAGATGATCTGTACGATCTAATGGTACGTTTAGAAACTCTGGAATTCCATTTCACTGATAGTTGCCATAGCAGCTGGGTTTTTGAATGTGATTTGTCGACAGTGGGCAGCCTCTGATCATTATTTTAAATCCCTAGACACGGTTGGTTCGCAATGAGATGCCATATTTCTACTGGACAACCAAGAGGGATTCAATCGACTGTCGGTCTTTACGTAAAGACCAGATGACCAATCATTACGCAAAGGCGGGATCTTTCACCACCAAGGTTCATCACAAATTTAACAACTGAAGCTTTTGAAACCAAAATTCTTATATATAAAAACACTTTCTCGTACTCATTACCTTTCATTTAATCTTTTTCAGGTTGGTTTGTGTATGAATTTAAGAAATCTGCAGTGGTTTGATGCAGCAGATCCAGATACATTCTTCCCACGCTGCTACAGACTGGGGGCGGAGAATGATAAACATGCTTTTATTGGTCAGTACTCTTAATCTTTATTGTCCCCTATTGGCTAGTTGTTTTCTTTTCATTTAACAGATGATTATTTTGCCCCAAAGAGATTTAAACCACATGAACTGTACAGTCTCCCTGCAGCAGTCTGGGGTTAAATGTGTTGCTCACAGGCACAGTTGTGACCTATGTTCTCTGTAGCTTTTCATGGGTTGCCCTATCATTGGATTGAACCTGCTGGATTGAACCTGTGGTTACCAGGCTTGATCATCTGAAATAAATTTATTTTGTTCTCTTTCTTTACAGAGGACTTCAGAAGGACTGCATGCACAAGTCTACTGCTGTATGTTTTGGAGAAGTATGGAGGGGATTCAGAGTGGGAGAGGACCGGAGAGGTGTATGATGCTAAATCTCATGGTATGACACACACTAACACAGACATACCCACATTGGGACTCAAACTTATTCACACATCTTCCCTCCTTTTTAGGTCTGAGCAAGCCGCGTAAACAGTATGCCAATCAGAGGGTTGGAATCTCGATAATTGACAATGCATTGCATATTTGTCAGGAGTATCTGAACAGTTTAGAACACTGTGACATAGACATCACTTTGGAAACAATCCCTACCCTCTCAGAGCAACAGTGGAAGGTGTTTCTTCGGAATTATTATTTAGTTATTCAGTGAGTATAATTTTTTATTATTATTCATAGTGCACTTAATGAGTCATATCATGTTTCTTTAAAAAGTTTCAGGGCTGAAATTCTATAATGAAAATCATGAAATAAAACTAAGCTGCAAAAATGTCTTATTCCAAATGTATGCAACTTTCTAACATCAGACAAATTACAGATTTGTACACACAGTTATATGTCAACAATGGTGTTCAGCAACTTGGACTGTCCTATTACAATAAAGTAAAAAAAAAAGAATAAGTAGGATAAATATTATTATTCTTAAACATCAGAAAATTTGGACCTCATATCAAACCTGAAACAACAAAAAACTAGAAAAAAAATAAATTGTTAAAAACATTTACTAATGTCATTAGTGGACACATTAGTGGAAATGAATACAGTTGTAAAAAATAGTTTTATTTTGGTGGTGGAGTAAGAAGCACCTAAGGGGACATGGTAATAGGAAAAAAATAAGAGACCATAGAAAAATAATTTTCACAATAATGTTCACAGAATTATTGCGTTCTGCTGAAAAACTTTGCCAAAAGTATTATATATATATAAATACTGTATATATAAATATAATTTCCATCACAAAAGTGTATCGTCTGCGTAGGATCATGCATGAGCGTTGGACTGTTTATGGCTTAAGAGACCCCTTTTAACACTTTTGACATTTGCATATAAATTACAGTTCTGGTCAGAGACTTTACGTTCGTATAGGGGTTTTAAATTGCCAGATGGTTCTTCGCCGTCAAGAAGATTCGAACCAGCCCCCACTATCATCCCCCAATCTGATTTCAAACACATTCCCAAAGAGCTGTAAATGGCCAAACTAACACACACACACACAAACTAACACACACACACACATAAAGACATTTCTTTATTTTAGACTATAATTAATCAGTTATAATTGTATCTGGTATATGCATGTGTTGTGTGTACGTTCCCCTATTAGATTAGCTGAGTTACCACTCGTTATTTGTATTAGTTAAAGCCATAAAACACTGATATTCAGGTGTATGTATGTATCTTTGGTTTAATCTATTCCAAATGGTTGTTTCTTGGTATCAATGTTACCTGTTTTTCATGCCTCGGACAATGAGGTACAGTATGTGAT